CATAACGCAGCTAACTTAATGCGTAACTTTGCTCCTAAAATATACAAATACCCAATAATGTTGTATCTGCTAATTTGCAAACAGTTTTAATCATATGTTTGTTTGAAGTTAAGCAAAAAGCTACACAATGGGCTATCTGTTCTCTGCCCACCGCGGGTATCGAAACCCGGTTTCTAGCGTTGTAAGTCTGCAGATATACCGCTGTGCCACTGGGTTTTTAATCATATGAAAACCGGTAAGTTGTTTCAGTCAATAATATTAATGTAAACTGGTCAATTTATTATTAACTTTATAAGCATCCTTGAATGAAGTGTCTAAGTAATTTTCAACTAGTAGCAAAAAAAAAAAAGATAAATTATTAGGTTATTATGTGTAACCACTATTATTTAAAATTGTTAAAGGCAATTGCATTTCAGTTTGATTTAGTATTGTTGTAGTTCGTTATTTTGTCAAGGTAGTTTTTAATGATCCAAGATTTGTTACCTTTTAGAACCTAAGCCTAATTTGAGAACGAGATACCAAAGATGTTAGCCTCCCCATTGGCACAGCGGTATGTCTGCGGACATACAACGCTAGAAACCGGGTTTCGATACTTGTGGTATACAGAGCACAGATAGTTCATTGTGTAGCTTTGTGCTTAATTTACTAACAAACAAACAAAGCTTATATCGTTAAAAACAGATGGCCCATTGCGTAGCTTTGTGCTTAAAAACAAACAAACAGCCTTGTATGCATATCGAATTCACGTTCCTGACATACTGAAACAGCTAAGCCCCCAGTGGCACAGCGGTACGTCTGTGGACTTACAACGCTAGAAACCAGGTTTCGATACCCGTGGTGTGCAGAGCACAGATAGCCCATTGTGTAGCTTTGTGCTTAACTACAAAAAAAAAAACAGCTAAGGTTTTGTCCCCTGGTGGGTCAGTGGTAAGTTTACGGACTTGCAACACTAAAATCCGGGGTTCAGTTCTCCATGGTGGACAAAGTGCAGATAACCCATTGTGTAGTATTGCGCTGAGAAAACAACAGTGTAGATCCTTTGCGAAATCGAGAGAATTTAACAGTTTTTAATGGAAGTCATTGGTCCAACGCGAACTAATTTCCATATTACATTTTCAGGTTTGTCTTAGACAGTACCTTGTTTTAATGGTTAACATAATCTCTTAGTATATAATATTTGTTATATACTACAAATTGCTAAACGAGGGTCATGAATCTGTAAGATAATGATTTTTAACCCATTACGTATCAAGTAAACATTTCGTCTTGAGCGAGTTATATAATGTTTTCGCGTATTATGTTAGTACTGAATTCTTTTTTATATCGACCCTAAAATATGGCCAGATTTTTAACACGGCATTCATAACGAAACACGTAACATAGAGTTAAAACATAAGCATTTTTTTTAGACTATATAAAACCGTGTACGAAAACAACAAAGCCTATAATTATTAATATTCTACTTTACAAAGATTCAATTTTATTGTTGAATATGCAATTAATACATGAACATTAAAACTTGTTATTTTTACAAGCTACGGATTCTACGGTAAGAATTTTTTTTAAAGAGTTATGACGTTTCGATTTTTCATACAAAAATCTTCTTTACCGTTAAAACTTGTGTACTTGAGAATGACCGCAACAGCGATCGAAACGTCTTACCCGTTGAAATAAAAACTCTTCC